CCCCCACCCCACCTCCTCCTCACTCTTTTTCCCCTCCCAATCCCTCTTGCTCTTTGCTTCCTGACAGGAAGGTGTAACAGATTACCGGGTCCCCTGGGGCAGCCTTGATAACTTCCCCCCACTCATTAGTGAAGCCACATCCACACACACACACTCATCCACACACATACACATTCATACACGTACATACACATGCCATGACCATAGTCAGATACACACTCACACATGCACACAGACACACACATTCATACACACACGTACACACACACACACATGCACACGCACACTCATACACACACACACACTCATACACACACACTCGTACACACACACTCATACACACACATGCACACACACACTCATACACACACATGCCATGACCAAAGTCAGGCACACACAGGTACCCTGTCTGCCATGCTGTTAGATATTCATCTGTGATGGTCCTGGGGTCTGACAGCCAGCAGACTTTTTGGGGTGAATATTTCTTTTCGATGGGGGAGGGGGGTATCTCTGGAGGTCACATAATAACGGCAGCAGGACGGACCATGCCTGTACAGCAGCTCCAAGGACAAACCTCTGTGTCAGTGCAGATGTGCTGTTTGTGTGCTGGATGCCATCATGATCCTAACCCCCCACCCCTTCCTTGGGTCCGCATGTGTCCCACTTTGCGTCTCCTGAACCCAAGCATTCGGTCCTCTGTTGCTGCCCATAGATTTCCCAGGATGGACATCTCCCCTGGTTGCAGTCTGTCTTTCACGAGTCTGAGTACAGCGGAGGGCTTTAAGCTTGGGAGGCAACACTGCTTTTTAAAAATATATCTGCTAATAATGGTCCACCCCCCCGCCCAGTCAACGAGTCCTATGGTCCACAGGGGTCAACGTGATGCTGAGGAAGATCGCCGTGGCGGCAGCCTCCAAGCCCTTAGTGGAGATCACCCAGGATGGGGAGAGTTTCAGTATCCGCACCAGCACCTCCGTCCGGACCACCCACGTCTCCTTCACTGTGGGCGTGTCCTTCAACGAGACCACTGTGGACGGGCGCCCATGCACGGTATGGCCAGCCGGCGTCCTGTGGTACGGTCAGTCCAGCATACCTTTCCCTCTGACTGTCATCCCAATTCCGAATCGATCTGGGTCAGCCTGGACCGTAAGCTCGGCCTGTACGCCTCCCCAAGCTGGTCCGGTCCCGATGTTCCTGCCTTCCTGTCTCTCTCCCCACATCCATGTGCTTCAGATCTTCCTCCCTCTTCATCTCACCCCTGCCCTTCATTCACATCACCCAGACTGGGACGACAGCACCTCCAGACCGTGCCAAAATGAGAACGGCCCCCCATTCTCACCTGATGGGTTGCCCTCCCTGACTCGATAGCATGAATGTGCTGTGTCTTGGGGCACAGAAGGGGCCTATTTACCGCATGAATACCCCCACTCTCTCCCGTGGCCTTAATCCTTCTCCGAGACGTTGGCGCCTGACTGCTCTGTGACAATATTTGCACACCTAGACTGGCTCGCCCCCCCCCCCCCCCCGGCAACCCACTCACACTTCTCCCCCCCTTTATGCTCTGCAGAGTTTCCCCCGCTGGGAGACGGACAGTAAGATCAGCTGTGAGCAGACCCTGCAGAAGGGAGAGGGCCCGAAGACCTCATGGACCCGGGAGATCACTAATGACGGCGAGCTCCTCCTGGTGCGTGTCCCACTCCGGCGTCAGCAGGGCCCCTTGGAAAGCGTGACTCAGCCAGCCGCAATGCAGAGCCGAGGCTCTGCCCCTGAGACTCGCATCGCCGGCCCGCCTGCCGGCTTTGGCTCGCCTCTTAAAAGTCCTGGCGTTCCTCAGCCAGTGGTCGCATTGCACGGGCCTGATTTATTGCGATATGCCTTGGATGAGATTGACTTCATGCGCCTGTGGTTTTTGTGGTCAGGAACTTGCATTTCCTCTAACGTCCCTTGCTTGCATTTCAGACGATGACTGCCGACGACGTGGTCTGCACCCGGGTCTACATGCGAGAGTAAAAGACCGGAGCTGCCTTTGCCCGCCCCCTCCCCCCACCTCTGTCCTGGGTGTCTCCTAATTGGGAAGTTTCTGTCTGTAACCCCTGGCGGTGTCCCCCGCCACCCTGCGCGGTTTGCTCTCTGCCGCTTGGCCCCGCCCCTCCCTGTGTCTCCTCTCGTCCACCAGCTGTGCTTCTCATCGCTTCCTTTCAGCGCGTTAACTCTGTCTCTCCCAAGCTTTTATATTTATTTTGCTAGCGTCTGTTACTCCTGCCGTTCTTTGTGTTTCTTTTATACAAAATGTGGTGTTCTTTTGAAAAAAAAAAACCAAAAAAAAAACCAATAAAATGCAACTCTGACTTCCAGATGCAAATCTCTTCTGTTTTATTTTCCTTGGCTGTAATCCAGTCTGCTGGCTCTGAGGGCTTAATCACTTGCAGGTATTATCTCGGCATATGTAATAGGTGAAACAGGAGTGAGATTACAGAGGCACAGCTGGAGGTCAACGCAGTTCGTGGTCTGAGCAGGGAGCCCTGAGTGAGCGGGTGCGGCTCAGGCTTGGATTAGACTAATGATTGACGAACTCCTCCACCCATCAGTCACATACACAGACGCATTGGCACACATCTTATTTTAGCCATTCTGTCAGCTGTCTGCAACTAGAATAACCCGTCTGGCCCTGCACTCGTCACGCCTCTCTCCTTCCCCGCTTTCCATCCCTCCAGAAGTGTGTTTCTTCATCACTCTCACTGTTTGTCCTTCGTCGCTCTTTCTGTTGCTAAAGTGAGGGTGGCAGCATCTGTGCTCTGCACTGGTGCTTTAAAAAGAGAGAATAAAACCCTTCTGGGCAGAGGGGTTCCCACTTTCCAATATGTTTGCAGTTTGAACCAGCTAAAGCAGAATATTATATTGGTTGCTCATTCCATCAGAATTCTCGGGGCAGATGTACTGTTTTGAGGTTTAAATTGGCCAAGTTGGTCTTGCCTGCAACTGGAATTTGTTTTCTCTCCTTCATAATAAACGTACTGCTTTTCTGACAAAGAAACCATCTCCTGGTCCTTTCTACTCTCGCTACAATATCGCTTTACACGAGGCCTTCTGGTTTCCCGTCACTGAAAAGATGCAGCTATTTTCCTGGGTTTTTACCCATGTCTCTTTGACTTTGTACACACCTCAAACATACTCATAAACAGATGTTGACTTGGCAAAAGCTTGAGCAGTGGGGGCTGCATTCAACATGAGCCAATCTGGCGAAAAGCTTACTTTGGCCTGAGGGGAGCAAGTGAATGTAGAGCTGAGGCAGGTCCCAAAAAGCTGGTCATCCAATGGTGGGCTGAAACTAGGGGAAGCAGGTGGGCGTGTCCCCATGGCCAGGAAATGCCAATGGGATTACAGGGTGTTGGTGATTGACAGCAGATGTGGACGACAAGGAACCGGAGCATCAGTGCCTGGAAACTGAGATGAGCTACAAACCTAGAAAGAATCTGAGAGGCCCTGCTCCAAAAAAAACACACTCACGCACTTACGTGGTGTCACATGGATTCAGAGTATGCAGCAGCAGAGAGAAAATGAGGACCAGGTTAGGGAAGACCATCCAAAAACATTTTAAATGGTCACATTCTCTTTTCCAGCCCTCCAGCTGTACTTAGTTATGCTGTGACCCCAATAAAAATGCCCCTCCTTTTCCTTATGCCCCAATAAAAGGGGTAAATAACTGCCTCTCCATCAGTGTTTATAGTCCCCTGGGGCAGTTAAATGCAGCTGTCTCTTGCCTGTAAAAAAATGACCGGACTGCACCCAGACACAGTAAAATGCAGTAGCCCACATACCTCCGTAAAGGACCCATTCAGCACAGTGCTGGCACACACCTAAAAACCATGTGCACAGAGGGTGAAAAACACACGTTCTCATATGCATGAGCCTTGTGTGTGCACCTTTAAACATGCACTCTAAAAGTATGTGTGCACTGAGCGGACCTGTGTGCTCTTACACAACCTGAATGTGATTCCTGCCCCTTTAAGTGCGATGTATGAAACTTCACACATCTGCTGCTTGTGGTTCCTACTCATTACAGCAAACCTGGCATCCAGCAAACTGACACAGCAGCAAACATACTTGCGCAGAACAGGACGTACAGTTGAAGGCTTCATTTTTTTACTAGCTAAAATTTAACAATAATCTGCATTAGCAAAATATGAGAAAATCAGTTTTCATTAAGAGGCCTCAGATCGCCCGGGTTGTGGCTTTGATTCCTGCCACTGTCTGTGGAGTTTGCACGTTTCAGACGCTTATATTTTAGCTGCATTGATGGCTGCATCCTGTGATAGACTGGCACCCCATCCAGGGCGTGCCCTGCCTCTCTTCCTGCCCTCCCAGGGGTAGGCCCCAGGCTACGGGTGACCCAGTATTGGATGTTATGGAAGATGGAAGAATGGATGCTCTTAGCTAATAATCACATAATGACATGTATTATAATCTGCTTGTCAGAGGTTCCGGCCTCCAGGGTCGGAGGCAGCGTCTCGGGGGTGAAAGCGGTGCCAGGGGTGCCAGCCAGGCCCACGCCAACGCACCTGTAGCCTCACACCCTGGGTGTGTGCCACAGCTAACGGCCCGGTGCACAACGTCGGCGTGGGCTGGGGCCGACGGCTGCAGCGGATACCGCTCCATGGGATGGGCGTCTTCGAGTGGCTGGACACACGAGATTACAGCAGAGCCCAGTGCAAAAGCGGGCGCGGGCGGTGCATGCAGGGAGATTCCTACTTTTTTAATTGTGAGCTGAATGCCAGGGTTTAAAACCATTATGTCTCATTGCATTTCCGAGAACCAAAACCCTGTGGAGCCTCCCCAGGCACAGGGCTGGACTGGAATTTCAGAATCTGGACTGTGGCCCACCGCACATACATATGCAGGACAAAATGTGCCAATGGGGGGTGGGCAGGGAGGGCGGCAGGGAGGGCGACCCACCCGGAAAATGCCCGGCATGCCAGGTGGCCCGTTCAGCGGTTCTGCCATCAAAGCCCATTTACAGCTGCAGAACATAAGACGGGCGTTTTCAAACTCGCAGAACTGGGTTTGGGCGGATGGTGCTGCGCCAGGCATCCCTCTTGGGCTCCACATTCAGTTTCCAAGCTGTGATGTCAACTCATTCCAGAGGTGATGATGTCACGGGGCTGCGAGCTGCTTCATTGGCTGTGGAATGCTGTGGTTTGCGGACTGGGCGGCACTGGCCTCGGATACTGGCGAGCCACTGAACCAGCTGTAGAAGAGTCCTGGCCCATGGAGACCCTTCTACACATGCACACACACGCACACAGACCACAACCCCACACACACACGTTAGATCGCTTCATACACGAAGCATGAAATCCCATGTCAGAGGATCGTCACTAAGGATTTATGAGAAGAGGGGCTATGTGCCTGTGGGTCTGAAATTTATTAAAATGCACGAGAACGCACTATTTAAAATGATCTGTGTAAATATAGGGGGGTTTAAGCCCCCCCAAAAAGAGTCCTAGTGACGCTCCTGTGACGCTCCATGACACAAGCAAGAAATCTACACCTTTGCCTAAAACAATACCAGCGAGCAGGAGGGTGTGTGTGCCTGCACTTAATACCGCACTTCCGTCAGTTTGATGTTACTTCAGGTATAGAGTTTAAAGACTAAGTTCGGACAGATTCCTTTGTAAGTCAACAAGTAATTAAAGCGACTATACGGGAGTCACTGGTCCAAAAATACACTGGGTGCGTAAAAAAAATTAATGCAATTAACTGCGTAAAACGGATCAGCAATGTAATAGAGACGAGGGAAATGGAAGACAATGTCAATAACAGCAAGCGACTTTATTTCATTTTCGCTTTCTGACTAAAAGCAATGCATAAACCTGTAGCAACAACCTACAACAACAACGGACCCTGTCGGTCTGGCCAAAATATACCAGAATATACCAAAATATCAAATTGGAGCCACCTGAAAGCAAATTCCCGGGCAGTTTTTGGTTGCTAGTCCGGCCCTGCTGTTGGTTGTTCACCTAAGCGGACCGGAATAGGTGGCCTGTGGGAATTCCACATTGATTGTGATAACCGCCAGCAAACTTTACACTTACAGAGGCAAGAAAAACAAGTGGAAGGAGAGAAAATAAGCATTTATTGATTCATCTTTTCCATGATGCTAATTATCCTTATCCTGAGCGTTTAATATCTCTTAAAAATCTATTATCACGCTGTTTTTCGTAACGCACATTAACTCACTTTTACATTGTCCCTACGTCCCTACCTATGCTATAATGTTATTGCTTGCTGTATGCCCAAGGAATTATTAGATCAAATTCTAAGTACGTGTGAACGATCTAATTAACCTGTGTGATTATTAAAATACGCGACTCCGTGTTACTATCTTGTCTTTTTATTACTCACTGGCAGTTGGAATATGGACCACAGTCGATCTGAAAGATCACGCAAGCCTCTATGGGTGCGTGTATGTGGGTGGGTGTGTTTGTGATTATGGGTGCCAATGTTAATATACGCCATTGTTTGTTTGTGCCTATGTGAAAGCAGACAGCAGTTTTGTACTGATTGTGTCTTTACCTCCTACTGTACGTAACGGTGGGACAGAGGCCGTTAGCCCCTGGATTTGATCCAAAACTGCCAACTGGTTAGATCAGGAGTGCCCAATACGTCGATCGCGATCTACTGGTCGATCGCAAAGGTAGTCTGGGTAGATCGTATGGCATAGAAAATAGAGGATGGATGACGCGTTCAATCGCGCCAGCTGCTGCAAAACTCTAGAAAGCTACCGAGTCGCCCAGTTAGCCTCCAATTTATTTTTACTAAACTTAAGAAAGGTTATAAAAATGAATAGGAGAGCTGGACCAAGAAGCCAAAAACCTACCACTTCCATACGGAATGGGAGGAGGACTGTCCGGCCCATTCCACAATGTATCACAATGTCATATTCGAAGTGCATTTGCCTCATCTGTCTGTCTACCGTTGCTATTCCGAAGAAGGGAAATGTGGAGCGACATTTTCGGAATGTTCATAAAAACTACATTAACTTCCCTCCGGAAAACGAGCTGAGAAAGAGAAATTAAGGTGAAGGAACTAAAATCCTAGTTCAATTCAAAAGTACTTTCTTTATCCCAAAGGAAATTAGAAATAGATAAATAATAAAGAATATTCAATATTTTTATACATAAATATATGTTTTGCATTTTTATAGAAGGTAGATCATTTTGACTTGGCCATTTATAAGTAGCTCGCAAGCTGAAAAAGTGTGGGCACCCCTGGGTTAGATCATCACGTGCCTTTTCATAGCAATGCGGTATCATACTTAATATTTCAACGAAGTCAGTCATGCACCAAATTGGCAGCAGAAAGTATGGACGGATGAAATATGAAGGCAAAGAAGTGACATGAAATATTACAGGAGCAAACCAATTAAAATACAAATGAAAGAAACCGTTTTAATCACCCTTCTGTTGAAAACTAGATTTACACGTGACATATTACAGAAACATTACTTAGGGCGTGAAGTACAGTTTATTCTGCATTAATTATTGAAAATGCTTTCGGGTACTCGCCTGTTCTATCGTTTTGATAATTGATACATTTATAAATTAATTAAAATGAACAAATTAACATACTATTTGTTTTGGCTTCGTCTTTTTACTTGATACGAAATACGTACTTAGAGTCGTATGTGAATGCAATCAAAAACCCTAACCCTAACCCTAACGCGCCAGAAGCGCCTCGACAAAGGGAACAGTGACACCTTGTGGAAAGTTGCTTTGACAGCTCCAATAACTCCAACTCCAATTTAAGAAAATAATAATTACGTTTTATTATCGGAAATAATGGACCAAAAAACAAATATATTACATAAACCCCGGGCCACATTTACAATCAGTTCCAATACCATTTCCCCGAAAGGCACATCACTTTTGTAACAGCCGATTTGTTGTACTTTACTGTCTTCACGGGGCTCCTTGGATCTGTATGAAATAAGCATGTGGTTTGTGACAAAAGCAACTTTTTCCCGAGCGATTTTTAAAGGTGACTTATATTATCCCCATTTTAAAATATTCATATTTAAATTTAAAAATATTCATATTTTTACTAAACTTTACTAAACTGGATGACCTTACTCCAGACTGCCACCTCGTGGGCCTTCAGGTCAAAGACCCACTACACTATCGTTTGCCCCTATAAGCCATTAAACATCCGTGACTTTTCATGGACATGCACTGTTATGTAGCAACAAATCAAAATCAATGTATAAATAAACAGCGTGAAGAGTTTTTGGTCTTGCCCTTTGCTTGCATGTAGCCACATATTCTAACTGTCACATTTTATGTTTTTACAAGGTGATGTGGGGAAACTTGTTTGGTGTGTATTAATCACCCTTGACATAAGTGTTCCCTTATTGCATGCATTAACTTGGATGAGGGTGACCTGCACACTGACAGTATCCAGCCTCAGGCTGAAGAGCAGTGCTATATAAGATTTAGAAAAAGTGGATAAAAAAACAAAATCAAGCGTGTGAACTTTGGGTTGAAGCATACCGAGACCACGATAAAAGCTGTTTCTCTTTCTGGATGACGTGAAGATAATGCAGAATATTTAATGGATGACCTGAACTGTATGCCATAGAGATTGCAGCACTTGTGAGGATACTGGATAAAGGCAGCCCAATATAATATACTGAAGACCTTCCTTACTATGTCATGTTCTAATCATCAGATTACAGCCCAGCACAGTTAGATTAACAGCTTGATTGGCTAAAATGAGCCACACATATACAATCCATGGCGTAATCAAATGGCAGATGTTTGGCAAATGATTTTATTTGAGTTAAATATGGGTAAATAGCTCTTTAAGAGCCCAAATAAAAAATTAAATGGTTTGCTTTTGTTACACACGACGAACAGAGTCTAAAGCCTACAGTGCTGCAGCTCAGTGAAAGAGAGTATAAAGTATAATAAAGGAATGAATGAAGAAAGACAAAGTCTAAGTGCGGTTAAAATATCACATAAAGGTCAGTGTAATTGCTTCATCACACTGCTGGACACACTGATGGACAGAGAGGCGTACTATGTACTGTCTGTATGAATATTTGGCTACTTGGGATCATGAATCCCTAAACCAGAAACCGGCTAACTAGAAGCCCAAAGCAAGATGCCAGTCAACAAGAACCATGACCCCCAAATCACCCAAACCACTAAACCAGTACCCGCTGACAGCTGACAAGCACAAAGGAAAAAGACCAACTGCATACAACAAACTTCTGACCAAGAACCACCTGTGCCCTGTGCTCCAAGAACAATGACGATGACTGAGCAGTGAGGACTGCTCACTTTTTCTGCTTAAGGTTGGGCCCTGAGTGTCAGGCTCCTGCCCTGTTACTTCCCTGCCTGGCCAGCAGGTGTCGCTGGTCACCCATTTCCAAGTGTTTAAGTCTTTGGTTATTTGTAAATTGACCCACTCCTGCTTCTTCATGCCCCCTAGTCTTTAGTGTTTGTTTGATGGTAGTTGGCCCACACCTGTCCCTTGTTTTACCCTCATTATCTGTGTATACCTGCCCTTGCCCTTGTTCCTCGATCAGTTTTTGTGTATCTGTAGCTTTTTTGCCCTGTGTTTGCAGCTGTTCTGCATGCTGTGGTTGTTCCTGTGTTGCTAACTGCCTTATTTTTGTGATTTACCTTCTTTGTTTTGGCCCCTTGTGGTCCTTTTGTTTTCTCTCTTTTTTTCAAAAATAAAAATCAAGTCCTCTGTTTGTTGGAGCTGCAACACGGATTGTCTGTTCCCTCACTGTGCCTGTCTGCAACACTAAGAATATCATAGGAAGAGTGATACCATTTCAATTTGGTCAAAGACGCAAAAAAATGTAACTAATTATAAACAGAGTTAATTCTTTCTTCAATTTAACTAAGCAAACGAGCCAGTGCTGGCAAGAATACCACAACATACTATAGTAAGAAAAAGTGCCACGGGCCATGAAGGGGCAATTAAATGTAGTCAATGGCACTACTTGTGATTGTGTTTGCTTTTGTAACTGTACAGCAGAATTTCTTTTATGTCTTTTTATATTTCTAGTCTCTTGAGATCTTTTTGTAGTGATACGAAATCCTCAAGCATAGAAGGCTCGTCAGCACACCCTTGTGGTTACTTAAAGACGTGCACTCGATTTCTTTGACATGTGGCTCAATTCAGGAACTTACTACAAGGGATGCTAACATCAGTTTTTTCGTACGAAACTCTGATCGCAAAAACAGGGAAACTCTGATATCAGGACCATAAAATCTGTGTTTTGTTCAGGCAAAATGGTCTAAGCCACTTCTTCATAACATTTGAAATAAATAAACTACCACCACAGTTGAATAAAGTCTAAATACACACGCAATGAGGGGCAATAAAGCTGTCTTAAATCAAATATCATGTGTGAATTTCCTGCTGTGTCTTACAGTAGGGTGCCGAAAGAAAGTTTTTAGATATACACTCAAAAAATAAAAATGGGACCATGATATGCAACGTCAAGTTCACCAGTCGGTTCTCCCTTTTACACACGCTCAGTGGCTATGAAAGATAAACAGCTAGCCGGAATGAAATCTTCCAAATATGACAAACTACAAGATGCCACTGCCTGAGTGCGTTTGTTGAAATGAACTAGAACACCACTAGCTATTGCAGGATAGCGAGTTAATCACAAGTTCTAGAGCACAGCACTGCAGTTTGCTAATCACTCTATTTTCCTTTCCTATACTGACATTTAGTTAGCAATATAGCCTATTAGCAATATAGCCCAGGACCAAGATTTGAGTCTCTGCCTAGGCATAATGTCCCCATAACGTGCTAAATATCTGTTTTTTTTCCCTTATGGGGTCCGGTTTCCTGGCCCCCATAAGGGAAAAA